AAGCGGATGGGGCGCCAGGAGAACGGAGAGGGGCGGAATGGGGAAACGCCCGCGACTCCACCGCGCTCCCGCCACCCTCTCCGCCCTCGGCCCGCCATCCGCGCACCTCCTGTGCCGCTCCGCTCTCCATGCCGCGCCGTGAGGGACCCACCCCTCGCCGTGCCCCCTTTAAGAGTCGCCGGGCCCACCCCCGCCCCGTTCCCGCACCGCAGCAAAGATGGAGGAGGCCCTGCCCCCCGCCGCGCGTGCGCGGAGCCGCGGGGGGCCGCTGGGAGATGTAGTCCGGCCGCGGGGCACGGTGGGAAACTCCCGGATGCAAATGGAGATGGACGCGGGGGCACCTGTGGAGACACAAGAGGGGGACAAGAGGGGGACAGCCACCGCTCATCTGTCCCCAAGAGATTTCCACATCCCCTAAACAAATCCCAGAATTACTGGAATTATCCCAGCGACCCCAAGTTCTGCCTAAATCCCTTCAAGCCATACCTTGGAGGCTGAGCAGGTTTTCCTCAAGATTTTTCCACAACTTTTAAGGATATATAGGGGATTCTAGAAGGTTTCTTAGCACATTTTTGGCTTTTAAGAGTATTCTATGAAGTTTTTAAGGGCTATTTCTGGGAAAGTTTTTTAGTTTTTTTTTTTTTTTTTTTTTTTTTTTTTTTTTTTTTTTTTTTTCTGGGTTTTTTTTTTGTTTGTTTGTTTTTGGTTTGTCTTTTAGGAATTTTTTGGGGTTTTTTAGGGTCTTTTCATGGTACAAAAGATCTCCTGCCCGTTTATTTCAACAGGGGGGTACAGGGCTGCCCTGAGCCTGGAGGGGGCAATTTGGGGTGTCGCGGCTCCATAGGGGGTAACACCGATGGGGAGGGTGTAGTGAGGATGTGTTACACAGGCACAGGCGAGCGGAAGATTACACGGTGTCACGGAAAGCTGCAGCTGCAAGACTCCCTTCTCCCTTAATCTCCTGAGATAAGCGAAGAATGCAACCTCCCTAACTCTAGTAGCTTTTCTCTCCTTACTAACCGTAAAACAGTATAAGCCGACCCCCTTTGACATAGAGTAACACCCCAGAATACATAACCCCACGAGATAAAACAATAAACGCCTTTGACCGCCCACCACATCGGTGTCAGCGTTGTGTCTTTGGCCCGAGTGACCCTGGTGAGTTTGGGCTGCCGTGCTGCTCCTCGAAACCAGATCGCCTTGCCTTGCATCAGAAGGGCAACAGGAGGGGACACGGGGGTGGGGGGTGACAGGGGTGGTACGACACATAGAGGCTGAGGGGCAGCTTGAGGGCACTGTGGGGGCTTGAGGGTGTCAGAGGCTGGGAGCCTAGGGAGGAACAGCGAGAGGGGACAGTGGGAGACGCACAGAGATGCTGAGGGTGGCAGGGGCAGCTGGAGGGTGACACAGAGAAGCTGGGAGCTGAGGGGCAAAGGAGAGGGATTAAAGGTGACACACAGGAGCTGAGGGGCAGCTGAGAGGGGGCTTGAGGGTGACAGACAGAGCCTGAGGGCTGGGAGCAGAGGGAGGGGTTGACGGGTAAAGGGAGAGGGCTTGAGGGCTGGACAGTCCAGTGGAGATAAGGACTACAGGGTACAGTTTAGGAGGCAAGTTGGGGTTCAGGTGCTGCACCCCTCAGCCCAGCCCTAGCCTCACCCTGAGCAGCCCCCCTAACAACAGCCTTTTCCCCCAGCAGCAGCACAACCCAGCAACCCTAACAGCGAGAGCAGAGCAAAACCCTCCCAGTGGGACAAGAGAGCAACCCTCACAGAGAGCTCAGCACCCACAGAGCGCTCAGGACCCATGGGAGCTGTGCGGGTGCTGAGCGGCTGTGAGGGTGCTGAGTACTCGATTTTATCACTTTTCCGTGTTTTGGTTACTTTCGTTTCCTAAAGTCCAAGGCTAAAAAAAGCTGAACCATCAGTGTTGGAAGAGAACTATATGATCATCCAGTCCAACCATGAACCAAGCACTGCCACTCTA